GTTCTAATTTATATGTGCCTGGTTGTGTTATGGAAGGTTTTGCATTGAATTTATATGCACAGCTAATTCCAACTGCTTGCCGCAGGTGTTTTACTTTTTGGATTGGGTCAAGTATCTGTTAAATGATCCAAAGAAGTTCCACACCTTCCTGAAAGTCACAGTTACCAGTGCAGTAGGGTTGGGTGCCATAGCTCTAGGAGTTGGCACTGCATCTGGGTATATTTCTCCATGGACTGGTCGATTTTATTCTCTCCTCGATCCAACTTATGCGAAGGATCATATCCCCATAATTGCATCCGTTTCTGAGCATCAACCCACAGCATGGTCATCATTCATGTTTGATTATCATATTCTGCTAATTCTTTTCCCAGCTGGTTTATATTTCTGCTTCAAGCGATTGTCAGATGCCACAATATTCATAGTAATGTATGGTCTCACTAGCATGTATTTTGCTGGAGTCATGGTGCGGTTGATACTTGTTGCTACACCTGCCGTATGCCTTATTAGCGCCATTGCAGTCTCAGCAACTATAAAAAGTTTGACTCAGCTTGTCAGGGCACAGAGCAAAGTTGTGTCTGTTGTTTCTGGTAAAGGAGCAACTAGTGCCAAAGCATCTTCTAAGGTGGGTTTCAAGTGCCTATTATATAAAACCGAAAATCTTCCTACAACTGCACTGCTATCAACAATTAATTGTAGAAGGTTTTCCTTCTTCTTTTATCTATTCAACTCTCTCTCTCTCTCTCTCTCACTCTCTCTCTCTTCTTGGTCTCCTTTTCCAAACTCATGTTAAGGCATATGCTTGAACTTCGTGCTAGACTCTTGTAAGATCAAGATGGAAATATGTACATTGCCACTCATAAGTTCTATGTAGAATGATGGACTTCACATGGCTGCTCTCAAAAGAACAGCCAGTGTGTAAGTCTATGGAAAAAATGCAATTATCCTTTATACAAAGGATACCATTTTTTTCCAGTCTTTTGGTTGAAAGGCAGTGGCATATAAGCAATCTTGTAATATGTGATGAATACTGTGAAATTAGAGCTTTCGTGTTAAATGCGTTGTGACGGGGAATGTTCATAAAGGGCATACAAAAGCTTGCATTTTCTTTTGGGCTTATTCAAACGTTATGGAAATCTTTATTTGAAGTAGTTATAGATTACAAAATATAATCAACTTTGTTTCATTGCACAAACAGGGCTCAGTGGATCAGTCCCCGCCATTCCAAAGAGATGGGGCTATTGCTTTGCTTCTTGGTTTTTTTTACCTACTTAGCAGATATGCTATTCATTGCACTTGGGTTACATCAGAAGCATATTCATCTCCATCAATCGTTTTAGCAGCCAGGGGTGCTCATGGTAACAGGGTTATTTTTGATGATTATCGTGAGGCTTATTTTTGGCTGAGGCAGAACACTCCTCCAGATGCCAAGGTGATGTCATGGTGGGATTATGGTTATCAGATTACTGCAATGGGGAACAGAACTGTTATTGTAGACAATAACACTTGGAATAACACACATATAGCTACTGTTGGACGTGCTATGTCATCCTATGAGGACGAAGCATATGAGATAATGAGATCATTGGATGTTAATTATGTATTAGTGGTTTTTGGAGGTGTAACTGGTTATTCTTCTGATGATATCAACAAGTAAGAACTTATATGTCTTTAAGATTTTTATGTGTTTTACTTTACATTCTCTCTCGTGTAATGGATTTTGATTACATACATTATTGACAAAATATTCAAATCTTTGTCAGATTTTTGTGGATGGTGAGAATTGGAGGTGGAGTTTTCCCTGTAATTAAGGAACCTGACTATCTTGTTAATGGAGAGTACCGCATCGACAAAGGCGCAGCTCCAAAGATGTTAAACTGTTTAATGTAAGTTGATTTTCTTGGCTTGCTGAACACTGCACTTGCCACTTTTTTCAGCCAGTGTTCAAACCTTCTGATGTTGTGGACTTGTCAATGTTGAGGTCTATATTTTTACGTTGCAAGATAGTGATTTTATTTCCTCTCTCTCTCTCTGGAAACTGTACGTCGAGTTTCTCATCTTTCTATATATTATGATCAACATTGGAATGGTTTCTTGAAGTCATTCTCGATCAATGTAGATTTCACTGCATCATGCAGATAGCGCAAAAATATTATAATGAAAGACTTCATGCTAGGCATATTACGAGATGTCATGATAATTGTGCCATCATGAATGTCAGCTATTTATGTTTGTGACTGCCAATTGAGTCGTTCCATTTAAAGCATGCTATGGCTAAGACATAAGGCTTGATGTTTTGAACTTTGTTGCGTTTAAGACATGAGGCTTGATGTTGTTATCTTTGTTGCGTTTTTCTCTACAATTTTGGCCTATACAAAGTTTCTCCAGTGACTAGATTCAGTTCCTGACAGTTATGATTTGTCACTTTTGGATGTGGTGTTCAGTTTGTAAATTGGAAATTGCCCTGTATTCACAAGAATACCGCGTCATTTTGAGTGATATGCCATTTAACATGTTCTCTTGACTTTGTTATTAGGTATAAACTATCTTACTACCGATTTGGTGAACTGACAACAGAATATGGGAAGCCTCCTGGGTGAGTTGACTTGATGTTCATCTTTGTCCCCTCTTCCCCACCTCATCTTCTTTTATGTCTCATCTTTTGTTTTTGATAAGCTCACTTCTTGGTTGATCTTTCCTTAGTTTGGCGGATCAGGGTCTATGTTTCGATTGTATTTGGTAAATAATGCTGAATTTATTTTGCTTCCTTTTTTGCTTTTTTGGGAAGAAGACATAATTTACACATCTGTGGTTCAAAGGGTGTGTGTTGTATTCATTCAATGTCTATATGACAAAGGTCTGCTGCAACTTAAATTTTGTACAAATTCCTAAATATTATTGAGATAATACTCCCAAGTTTGGGCACTCACCTGAATTAATTATGTAAACCTATGACTACAAAAGAACACAAATTGTGCATTTATATCTCACAGGTGTTTTAAACCGGGAGCATAGGCTGGATTTAAATGGTGCTAGGCTGTGTGTAGTCTGATTTTATTTACCTAAGATGGTTCTGTGTGCAGAGTATCTTCAGTTTTCTGATGGTTCTAATAATTATTACGACCTAAAAATTTCTGCTCATCTAATGCAATGTTGTTGGCTGTGACAGGTATGACAGGGCTCGGGGGGTCGAAATTGGAAATAAAGACATAAAGTTGGAACATTTGGAGGAGGCATTCACGACATCAAACTGGATTGTGAGGATTTATAAGGTGAAACCTCCCAACAATAGGTGGTGATCTACACATGCTCCTGCGGGACAATAGGTTATACTGTAGTGCTGAGCAACTGAGTCTACGGATAGGATTATTTACGAACTTTTTTGGATTTCTGTTTTGACATCTAATGCAAGAGTTGTTTGCTTCTCTCTGCTGAGTTTCTCTTGTTTTTGTTCTTTTTTGTTTTTTGTTTCCCCCAAAGAGATTTTGTAGTTGTCATTTTGCTATCAGTAATAATGTTAAACAAAAGAAGTTCCATAATGTTAATTTTTTGTGGGATAATGCTAATTGTGTCCAGATTCTGGACAACTTGAGAATTGCATAAATGAAGCTTATATACTCTTCATATATATCAACATATCAAGTCTCAATACATAAATGAAGGCAAAATTCGTTCAATTAGGAGAGGCCGTCATCACACAATGCTGCTCAAAACATTATGCATTATGATGTGCTTGGATTTAAAGGAGATCCTCATCAAACAGTGTTCAAAACCTATGTGCTTGATTTTAAAGGAGATGGTCATCAAACAATGTCCAAACCCTGATGCATTATGCTGTTCTTCAATGGTAAAAAGTCTGTCACCACAATTAGCCCATAATAGTATGACAAGATACTATTATACTTGCAACATGACATGTACTGAATGCTAAAAGTTCAGTTGTGGAGACATGTTTTTAACCAATAATATGCAGTTAGGGAACATCCATACTAAAAAAGAGCAGTGTATGTGTATTATCAGCCCAGTTGCTTCTACGGCACAAACTGTCATCCTCCCCTATTATCAAGAGGTTATATTGTGCACACAAACATCCATTCCAAGCACACATCATACTTTAATTTATTTATTTATCATTACTGCAGAAACTAAACAAATACTAAAATAGACAAACTTTTTGACAGGTACATTACTTTCTCTTTGTAGCCAGCTCTCAGAAATGACTGCAAGACTATAATAGTTTGCGCAAAGAAAGGTCTTCTATATCACACACTTGCAACACCAGCTATAGTTTTGATTACAGCAATATGCTTGTCTGCTCGAGAGATCATCACTGGGTTCAAAGAACTATATTGACACATTTCTCAGGAACACAAGTTACAGAACTAACTGGTACAATGGACGTAAACAAATTTCTTCAATTTATTGCCCAATATGTTTACAACAAAACACATAAATATGATATTCTGATTTGAAACTGAAAAAGAAACTCATACTTCAAGAAAACACGATAAACAACCGACTCGTACTGCATCGAATCAAATACTACAAAATCAAGCAATGCATTCCACGTTCACACAAAATCACAGTTCCTTCTAGCTTTAGATCACCTCAACCACAAATAAAGAAGAAAGCAAAAAATAAAACAGTAGAGATTGCAACCTTAAACAACATACTTTAGTCAAGGTCCTCCTCTCTTGCTTGACTTCCTCTACCATCACCAGCATTCGATTCTCTCCTATCACTGTTGGTGCTATTGTTATTATTCCCATTTCCACCTCCCCCACTACTGCTCGTCTCGGCTTGTGATCCAAAACTTCTAAAAATCCAAGGAAACGATATTCTAAAACCACTTTCCATCGTCCTCGGTGTCTGAGAACCGCTATTATTATTATTACTACCCCTACTTTCTTGACTATTATTGTTATTATTACCACCATTGCCAGTATTCCTATTACCATTGCCACTATTTTGCCCCACTCTTCGACTCTCGTAATCAGAATCATCAGTAGGAAGCTCATACCTACAAACCGGGCACGAATTATGCAGCTCAAGCCATGGCAAGATGCAATCTTTGTGATAGATATGCTTGCAGGGCATCTGTTTGGCCACCTCCTCCAACTCAAAGCTATCTTTACACACCGCGCATTGAGAAGAATCCGAAGCCAGCATTTCCTGAGTGATGCTTATATCCGGCAGCCCCTCCACCGCAGACTTTGAAGCGGGCGGTGTCCCGTACCGGTTCGGATCGTTCTCCGCCAGCTGCTGGATCAACTGCTCCAAACCAGGGCCCATGAAATAGTCCCCGAAATTCATGGGTAGCCGGAAATCAACCCCTCCGCCCCCCAATCCACCGCCGCCGGGGGACTCGAAGACGACCTGGATATTCGCACCCCTAGCCTGGAGGCCATTGATGTAGTTGTTGAGGAAGGCGAAGGGATTGAACTCGTCGGAGGATCGATTCCCGAAGAGCGCCGACAGATCCTCGATTCCGCCGCCACCTCCATCGCCGGACGAGAAGGAGAGCGCGGAAACGCCGGGTGCCGCCGCCGCGATGGAGGAGGAGGAGGAGGAGGGGGAGGAGAAGGCGATCGGGAAACCGCCGAAGGAAGGGAAAAGGGGGTTCGGAATCGGATTATCCTGGATCGAGGCAGTTCCCGGGTCGGATTCTTCCAGAAATCCGCCTTGGCAGATGGGGCAAACGACGTCCGCGGTGGGTGAGGACGGGGGGGCGATGGTGACGTGGCGCTCGCATTGGTAGCAGTAGTAGTGCTGGGCGGCGGCGGAGGCTCCGCCGTGCCCGCCTCCCGAAAGACTCGCCGAAGACATGGATTTTGTACGGAGAGATTATCTCGTATCGTATATCTATTTGGTTGAGAGAGAGGGAGAGAGAGAGAGAGAGCAAAAGGAGAAAAAATTACGTGTGCTTTTCAAGACATCTTCCTCGCACCAACCTAATTGCAGTCAATTTTTACCTACAAAAAACTGAAATATTGAAATGTTACCAATTTAAGGAGTGGTTGTTTAGAGCATCTCCAACCAACCGTATGTGAATTCTGGGATTGTAGAAGCCATCTAATAAAAGAACTCCTCCAATAATGATTTTTTCACTTCCACTAGTGAGCAACCCGTGCGATGCACGATGAGGCTTGTTCCTCAAAATCTATTTAAAATTTTATTGTTAAATACAATTACTAAAATTTAAACATTTCATTATGTCAAAAAATTAGATACAAAGTATGAAAAATCATATATTGTTGAACAGTTCTCTATACATAATATTTTTTGTTTAATTTTGTGGCAAACCTTCTTGTCAACAAATTAAAATTTTCAAACACTTGTGTGAAAAAAATTAAATTATAATATATTATTTGTGGTGTGATAAATCGTAATATATTATTTTTAGTGTGATAAAATGTGTTGGGATAATTATGACCATTTGAAAAAATATTTAATAGTAATCTTAAAACTTTAAATTTAAAAAGATAAATATGACCATTTGAAGAAATATTTATTTGTAATCTTAAAATTTATATTTTGAAAAATGATTGTATATATGCGCCAAGTTTTTAGGAACCAATCAATCATATAATATAAAATTCTTATATGATTTCCAGAGTCTTACGAACGTGACATGAACTTCATTTTTTAATTTCAAATTTATCAAAAGACAAATTCTTAGGTAGTTATGAAAAAAAGTATCCAACAAACTATTTTTTAATTTCAAATTTAACAAATCAGAAGACAATTATTAGGTAGTTATGAAAATAGTCTCCAACAAACTTCAAATTAAACGACATACAACCATCAGATCTGGAGTTGGTTGCAGTCGGCGATCACCACCCGTCTCGGAGTCCGGTGCCTCCCCGACCCGACATTCTCCACCGCCTTCAATATGTCCTACTCCTCCACCACCTGCCCGAACACCACGTGCTTGTCGTCAAGCCACTTCGTCCTTGTCGTGCAGATGAAAAAGTGCGTGTCATTTGTCCCCGGACCAACCGTCGTCATCGACAGGTCCCGGTGTGCTTTCTCATGATGTTCTCGTCGGTAAACTTGGCGTCGTAGATCGACTTACCGCCAGTATCGTTACCCGCAGTGACGTCACTGCTCTGAAAAATGAAATTGGGGATTACACGGTGGAAGGATGACCGTGGTGGAGGGGCTTGCCAGATTTGCCGAGTTCTTCTCGTCGGTGCATAGGGCACAAAAGTTCTCGTCGGTCTTCGTGACGACGTCGGCGAAGAGCTCCATCACGATTCAGCGGCGGGGCTAGCTGCTGACCATTTTATCGAAGTAAACCCTAGGATTCGATAGGTTGATTTTGAATTTTTTATTTATGAGTTTTTGTGATTTTTTTTATTTGTGACTAACTGATTTTTTTTTTTGTCTAAAACTTAGGGTTTTGTGATTGGGTGGGGAGGGGTTTATATAAGGGATCGATTGAGTGCAAACTTTACAAAAATGAATTCTTTCTAAACTTTAAAAAGATATTGTAGTTAGATAAATATGGAGAAAAAAATATGAGAAATGTTATAGGTACATAATACTTTACATAGAGGTGTACATAACACTCACATTAAGTGGGTCCAACCAAAAATAAAAAATCATTTAGACCCCACTCTATGTGAATGTTATGTACACCTCTATGTACATTTATTATATACTTGTAGCATTTTTCAAAAAATATTTATCAGGAATTCACATAATATGAGATTCTTTCCAAACTTTAAAAAGATTTTGTAGTTTAATAGATATGGACAAAAAAATATCCATAGATAGAGATTGCCTGAATTTTCAAACCTTTTTTTTATATATATAAATCAATTTGTGCTTTGGGTGGGAATTTGCGCTTTATTTAAAAAAATTCATTATCAATAAAAACGAAAATTTTAGGCGGGATTTTACATACTATTCACAGCTAAATGTTTTGCCTTTTTATATATTCATAGATATATATTTAAGTCGTGAATTTTTTATATTATATGTTTATATGGCTAAAATATGTTGTTTCAATCAAATAAGTCATATATTATTTCAGTTAAAGAATATAAACCACCAATAGAAAAGTAGTTAAGATATATGTCATAAATAATGTAATTTATTATTTTTAAGAAAAACAAATCAATATATTTACACACAAAATTCATAAATATAAATAATTTATGGAGGATTGAAGTTTATCAATATTTAGTTTAACATCCATTATTCTCGGAACAACTTTTTGTTTGATTTGCTTAATTTGAATGAAAAAAATCCGTAATTATTGGAATATCTTGATTCAAAATCTCAATTTTTTGGCATAAGAATCTTCAAATTTGTTACCTTAAGAATCTCCAATTTTTATGGGATATCACATTAAATTTGATTTCTAAAGAAAATAAGTTGTTTCAATCAAATAATTCATATATTATTTCAATTAAAGAATATAAACCACCAAAAAATAGAGAAGATGTTAGGAATTAGGTCATAAAATAATATAATTTGTTATTATCTAAGAAAACCAAATCAATATATTTACACACAAAATTCATAAATATAAATAATTTATGGAGGATTGGAGTTTATCAATATTTAGTATAACATCCATTATTCTCGGAACAATATGTTGTTTGATTTGCAACATTAACTTGAATGGAAAAAAAAATCCGTAATTGTTAGGATATCTCAATTCAAAATTTCAATTTTTGCCATAAAAATCTCCAAATTTGTTACCTATAAAAATGAGATTCGCATTTATGAAATGAATTAAATTTTGGCATTAGAATCTTCAAATTTTTAACCTTAAGAATCTCAAATTTTTTTGGGATATCTCACTTAAATTAATTTCCTAAAGAAATTAAGTTGTTTTAATCAAATAAGTCAATATTATTTCAATTAAAGAATATAAACTACAAAAAAATAGAAAAGAAGTTAGGATTTAGGTCCTAAAATAATGTAATTTAGTATTATTTCAGAAAAAAAAATCAATATATTTACACACAAAATTCATAAATATAAATAATTTATGGAGGATTGGAGTTTATCAATATTTAATACAACATCCATTATTCTCGGAACAATTTTTTGTTTGATTTGAAACATTAATTTGAATGGAAAAAGTTCGTAATTGTTGGGATATCTCAATTCAAAATTTCAATTTTTTGGCATAAGAATCTCTAAATTTGTTACCAATAGAAAATGGGATTCGTATTTATGAAATGAATTAAATTTTGGCATAAGAATTTCCAAATTTGTTACACTAATAATCTCCAAGTTTGTTACCTTAAGAATCTCCACAATTTTTGGGATATCTTAAATTTGATTTCTAAAGATTCACATGTGTTTTTTTCAAAATTTCCACTAATAGTAAGTCAACACTTTATTTTTAAAGTCAAAGTTACTATTTTTGTATTTTTTTCAACAACTTCTTTATATTACTATAGATATCTGATTATGTGGCATGAAAGAGAAACAATAATTCTAGAAGTCCTTCCACATGTAGAAGTCCTTCTAGACTTATGAATCATTTTTTCACCTTATTTATAATACAAAATAAATGGATAACATGAAGATAGAATAAACCATTGGAGATGTTTTATGGGCTTGAACCTCTATTTGTTCCACGTGGATGGAAGAGCATCTATTTCATTGTCACATATACTACAATTCATGTATACGGTTGGAGATGGTCTTAGGTGTTAAAGGTTAACTGAAAAATTAAGTGTTGATAGAATTAGCTAATAAATTAATTGAATTAAAAAATTCTAACACATTTTTTTTGAAAAGTTATGGATAAAGAAACTTATATAAGATAAATTTGATTGTTTTTCTTTTTAAAAAAAAATTATGGTGATTATCAAACACAAATTAAGTAAACAATTGTTAATCTCGATTAGTAAATCATACTTTTCATATTACTAAATCAGAATTGCATACTCTATCAACATAAAAAGTATGACCTCTTACAATATAAATATGCATATTTAGTTTATAAAATTATAAGGAATCAATCTGATCCCACTAGAATTTGTGTTATTATAAATGGACTGTAGAACCTAATGACATAGACTTGCATATTTTTAGGTTGGAGCTCTTTTTGTGACGCATTCGGTCTAAATTATAACATGGGTACATGGCCATCAATCGATGGCCTTCTCTGATATAGTCAGAATCAAATTACACACACCACATAAAAATTGATCCCTTTTTCAAATGAAATAAAATTTAAAATTTAGAGGCATCAACACCTCTTACTATCAAATATAATTTATATTACACCAAAAATTTTATAGAGTCATCGGATGGTTTCTTATGGAGCCATCCGCAACTTAATATATTGACACTTGTCCAATTTGTATTTATTGTAAGACATATGTCAATACATTAAAATTTCACTTTTGGTATCCCAGGTATACATACTTTTCGCTTTGATACCCGTGGTTTAAACTTAATCACTTTCAGTCACTCACGTATTCAAAATCTATCATTATTGCTCAAATCGTTAGTTGACCGTGAGTCAACTGACCATCACCTTCTCTAGCCGGTTGCTTTCTCTAAAGAAACCTAAATAGTCGGTTTCCCCTAATTTCTCCAACTGAGCAGACCTAATTGAAATGAAAAAAAACCCTAACATTTTACCTAATGATTTTATCTGCTTCGGTGGCGACAAATTAAACCCCCTGAACTGGGGAGTTGAATGTAAAATCGGCTTTTGCAGCTCATTCTGAAGCCCATATTTCTCAACCATTGATGTTATCAGTGTATTACGGGCTTGAAACTCGTTCCACAATATTTTATCAATAACCTCCTGCTGCTGCTGGATGTTCTCTTGATTACGATCTACTCTTTTTTTCTTTGGGCTTGGTGTAAGAGGGCCACGCTCCTTCTTTACTTTAGCATAAGATGAAGCCCGACAGTTCGGTTTCGTCTTGCATAGCTCTTTAGGACCTTTAAAATTTCCTGGCTGCTGCTTTTTTTTCTCCTTCTGTTCGTCTTGAAATAAATGAGGAAACGTATCATCATTTTGAAAAATATTCATACAGCTGTTGCCAGAAAATGACATGGAGGTTGAAGGCAGGCTGATGTAAGGCTCCATATTACGGATGCCATGACTCTGCAAATAAGCTGCAATAGAAAGCATCAGTAGCCAAAGCAAGACCTTTCCATTAGAGTGGCATTCATAACGTTTGGACCAAAATTTGGATTTAGTTCTGCAATGTGGGGAATTGGATTCATGCGTTCTTCGTCTCTGAGCAAGTTGCGCGAGACTAAAGCCTCCAAATTAGCTCCGCTCCCATTAGCAGGTAAAATTAGAGACCTTGGGTATGGTCTGTTTGAATCACGGAAAGCCTCCAAAGGCATCACTTACGGTTGAAGTAAAACATGGTGCAAGAAATCCTAGATAGCTGTGAAGAAAGATAAAGGTAAGTTATGTTGTTTTCATCAGATGATACCTAAAAGGTACAAAACAAAAAGGCAGAACAAAAAATAAAAAACACTATAAACACATTAGTTTGTCTTACTGCAGATAGAGTTTCACAATTCCACAATCATCAGGTGAAAGTTAATAGACAAAAAAGAGTTCAGAAATTAAAAATAGGATCCACTTTGTGTACATGAGCCATAATAGATAAAATGTTAGGGTTTTTTTTTCATTTTAATTAGGTCTGCTTGATTGAAGAAATTAGGGGAAACAGATTATTTAGGTTTATTTGGAGAAAAAAACCGGCTAGAGAAGGTTATGGTCAGTTGACTCACGGTCAACTGACGATTTGGGAAAAAATGATGGATTTTGAATACGTGAGTAACCGAAAGTGATTAAATTTAAACCACGGATATCAAAACCAAAAAGTATGTATATCTGAGATACCAAAAGTGAAATTTTCCCTTATAGTGAATAAGTGTGGATAACTTTATAAGTCGAGCCATCCAATGGTCCATAATAAAACTGTATATTACACTTATATACTCATTATATTATTATTTATAAAATTACTAAATCAAGTTAAAATATTACAATTATACCTGAGATCCTTAATGGAATTTAGATCCTTAATTTTGGGAAAATTAAATAGAATTTAGATCCTTAATTAACCCAGGTATTTTCTCGCACCCAAAAGCATAACTCGCCGTCGCGCCACCTGTTACTAACTGGGTATAAAATACACGGGAATCCTACGAACTGATATGTATTTTTCAGTTCTTACAAATAATCTAAAAAATAGAAAATTATAATCGAACTGAAAAAAAATTACAACTGAAAAATAAATTAAAACTTAAAAAAAAAAACAAAACAAAACGGAAAGATTTTAGCCGAGGCGAGTAAAACTCTTTCTGCAAGAAGAATACGCCCCGTGTGGCAGCTAACGGTTTAGGCGTAACTTCCCCAAAGATACAACGGCAAACGTCTCTAAATCTGTAGCACACCAGATTTACGAGCTCCGGCGAACTGGATCGGAGTCGAGAATTGAGCACTTAAAAATAGAAATAAAAATATCAATCTTTTGTTATTTTGATAAAAAAAAATAAATATTTTTTATATTTTTCTATTCTTCCTTTCTCTATATTTTTCTCTTCTTTTCTTCTGTGCATTTTCTCCTTCTGCCGATCACCCTATTTATAGGGAACAAAGAACAAATAATGTCTGGCCATAAGCCACCTGATTAATCAATTATTACAACTAATTGAGGCAAGTTGTCCCAAATGACAAAGGAATCTCCATCTTCACACGTCTTCAGCACAATTGGACAAATTAGTTTTTATTAAATTAATCAAGAGAAAGTGGTGGTTTAGCCTGGTGGTTTGGGAGTCTTTAATCAAAATCAAGTGGGATCCATATTTAATACACTCAATAATTACAATCCCCCACATGAGTGC